CTACATCTAGTCAATTTTTATAAAGTAAAGAAGGTACCTAGTTACACACTACAATTAACCACATCTATAATTATAAAAGTATAAAACTAGACTTTTTATGTTGGATATTCTTAGGTACCTAGTTGTAATTGGGTAATTTTCGCAAGTCGCATTTCATTATATGTATATTTTCATGGTCTAAGGTAAAACTTACCTCAATCCAAGGATTTAACTCGAAATCGCCATCCCTTGACCCACCAACACCAACACATACAATAAATAGCATAAAAACAAATTACCGAAGCATTTCCATATTTTATTACAATCAGCAAAATATAACCTAAATAGCATTCCCGCCATTTGCAAAATAACAATGAAATGAAATCAATGGACGGATGAAATCGCTTTTAAATTCCAAAATGGAGAGAAGAATTAATTATAATGTTATGTATGTACATTACAAATGGAATATTAATTTTAATAAGTTAACACTACGTTTGGACGTTAACGAGACACTGATGTTGAATTTACATAAAATTAATACGGAGTTATAACAGAAGCTGACAGATGTTTCGTTTTAAAGCGTAACCTGTGTATAATGCAGGGATGGAACTAAGAACGAGTAAATATAAAGAAAATTTATTTTTGAATTACATAACATTACATCACGGCTTTTGTATCCCCGAAGGGGTAGGCAGAGGTGCACATTACGGCACTTAATGCCACTGTACAATGTAACACCCACTTTTCACTATTTATATTATTAGTCCCATGTAATAGGGGGCTGAGCCTATTGCCATATATTTCCAGACTCCGTGCTACTACTGAGATTTTTAAAAACCCAGTAATACTTTGCCCGTCCCGGGAATCGAACCCGAAACACCTTGCCCGGCAGTCGCACTTGCGACCACTCGGCCAACGAGGCAGTCCATTTTGGAATTACATTCAGTATTTTTTATCATTATGTTTATTAAATTATGTTTATTAAATTTTATTCTTTGTTAAATGGTACTTCCCTGAAGGATCTTAATATGTTCTCTATTCGAAAATTTTATTTCCAGGTAGGATTAGAGTATAGAGTTTGTGATTGAAATTCTGCAGTAACTACACATTTCATAACCAATAGTCATAACATTATAACAATACATCAATAATCATAAAAGAAGCCAATTACATATTTGAAATTCGTATTTAGAATTACAAAGCATTCCAAAAAGAAAAAAAGCCAGCCTGACATGTAGAAAAAAAAAAACAAAAAAAAAACATATTTGTTACATCCCTAATTCTGGGCCGTAGCTCTAGGCTCGGTTGTACGAAAGACAAAACGTCTACTAGTGAATAATGTATGAACGTTTACTGGCTGAAGTGAATCATTTTAACGCTGAGCCACGTTAGGGAGGAGCGCTAATAATTCAGCCGGAATCATAGTGTCAGACTCGGTTCGGACTCGGAATAACTCGGTTTAGTCGGTTATTGTGTTGAGCAGTTTGATGTAGCGTGTATGATCTGAAATAAATCAAAGAATAAAAAAGGATTTACATGTTTGTGCCACATCGGAATATTATTTGATTAAATTATTATATTTTCGGCTTACTCAAGTAGTAATTCGACGAGGAACTCGACTAGTTTCAAGCCATGCTAGAGGCTCATATTCATGAGCAGCATTTCGCGACACGCGACGCGGCGACTGTCGCGCTGCTACTACCAGGTAGAAACTACCAGTAGAACTAGAATATGAGCCTCTAGCATGGCTTGAAACTAGTCGAGTTCCTCGTCGAATTACTACATAATAATTTATTTAGTATGTCTCACGAAAGTTACAATATTATTTGATTACCTTCAAACAGATTCCACATTAGAAAAGTTATTGTTTTTATAAGAGTAAAGTCTAAATCATTTCTCCATAATGCTATCAGATTTGAATACTTTTTTAACTGCCAGTTAGTTACTATAATTATATTGTGTAATCGTTTCATTTAACATAACATTATTTAAGTTTTTATCTATTATATCGTAAATGGAAAAAAAATAAAAAATCGATTGTAAAATCGAATTGTAAAGTCCTGTGTCCAACCAACATTTCCAAATACATTTAGCCAGTGCCATTTTTCGTTCTACCTACCAAACAATTTTCCCCGTAGCAACAACGTCTATATGTATATACACTATACAGCTGGACGTTTCTATCAAACTTAAAAAGTGCAATATTGGAAGTCGGAACCAATATCGGACTTATACAGGACGTTCGAATAAAGCCGACGATCGATTTCGAATATACTTCACGTTCTTCTACCACGTGATGCGAAGAGCAATGCAGTGGCGTGCATTGAAAACTACACCCCCTATTTTCGATTCCAATTTCAAACGGCCAGAGATTCGGATCTTGATTAGTTGCGAAATTTCTAAAGAAATCTCAGCAAAGCTTTTAATGAAACCTCTTTTATTTCGAAATTATTTTTGCTTATTGTCTAGTAGCTGAGCAAAAGATAAACTTGATTGTGGATTCTGTGTTTTGATATAGTTATTTTTGGGTTGTGTTTCGAATGTCAAGCAGATGTTAAAGCGAAATAAGATAAAAATGTCTATAAAATTGAAAGAAACACTCGCATTTATCTGGATATATTGTATTAGTTTAAGTTAAAAGAAGACTCAATTTACATATAAATGCAGCAGAAATAGAACTGAATACAGCACTCTATTCAAGTCTAAACCATTTAACTTAAATAGACTATTTCAACAAGCATTTACTAGTAACTAAATAAAGACTTAAGTTATCTCTTATGTACATACAAAAGCGAAACATTACGGTATATAGAAATTATTATTACATAAGGAAAATTACCGTGTATTCTATAAAAAAAATCTAAAATATATAATAAACTGAAATACAGATTTGTTTTTCTATATTTATTTATATATGTATTATAATTGTATTATATTAATTTGTTTTATTGTTAATTATTGTTAATTCTATTGGTTTCTTTCGGTCTTATTACTTTTTTATTAATTGATTTTTATCTTGTTTGTGTAACACACTATGTGTCTCTGTATTATTATTTCTTTTCCTGCCACAGGCCCACAGGAAGAAATTCCAGTTGGAATATGTGGGGCCTATGTACTCTGTTTTTTATTATGTATTGTCCTCTGTGTTGAATGTGTGTACATAAATTAATAAATAAATAAATAAATAAATAAACTGTATGAGGTGATTTTAACGAGAAGAGTTAATTTAAGTAATCTAATTTGTTTTTAAAAATAATATCCTAAGAGTACCACTAAATATGATATGAAACACAATACCTATAAAAATAATTATTTAAAGAATGCCGATTTTAGATTTTGAGTCTAAAAATCTGCTGGTATAACACATTTTTTCTTAAAATATAAATGAGTTTATACAATGTTAGTAAATAGAAAAATAATTCAAAGTCGACGATGTAATCTAATCTTTCCCGACTCATACAGCATGCAGCCTCAGTTTCAATATCCGGACTTTATCAAAGTTCTCTCGAATCTTCGGCTGTCGATAATATCCGATACTTGAGAATTACGAAAGCGGTTGCTTATTTTGGTCGCGAGTGTAATAAGAATTAAAAAAGGTTAACATAAATTTTTACTAAAAATCTTTCAATCGATATTGCAATAGAATGTTTTTAAATTATTTATTGTCTTTTCGGTTTACTCAAGTAACTGTTTGACGAGGAACTAAACTACATAACACAACGTCACACCTTTTATCCCCGAAGGACGCAGAGGTGCACACAGAAGTAACACCCACTTTTCACTATTTATGTTATGAGTCCCATGTAATAGGGGGTGAGCCTATTGCCATATACTGGGCACATTTCCAGACTCCGTGCTACTATTGAGTTTTTTTTAAAAAACCCAGTAATACTTTGCCTGACCCGGGAATCGAACCCGAGACCCCTTGCTCGGTAGTCGCACTTGCGACCACTCGGCCAACGAGGCAATCTAACTAGGAGGAACAGAGAACTAAACTAAAGATACGAAATAATGTTTTTGATGAAAAAAGAACTATGTTTTTACTGGCTGATAAGAAATGTATTAGTTATTTTAAATTATTCAATGATTTTCTCCGTATAAGCTTATTTAGCACAAAATTGATGTGAATTCTTCACATATACCTATATTAATTCACATATATTATTTCTAGCTAGTAGACACTAAAAATAATTTAATAACAACTTAGTTTAGGTTAAAAAATTCAACACAATATTATATATTTATTCTACCAAAATAATACGCAAAACTACTATTAAAGGAATTAAAAGTAACTTAATTCTAGTAAATTTTGAGGTTAAGCCTAGAAACATTTAAATTTTATTAGGGTGACCGAACTTAGTACTTAAATGTGGACCTGTATTCTAAATTTACGACACACAAGACAGTTTCATAGAATGTGTAAAACTCAAATAACGTAGGATCTTTTATCGATATGTTTTACGATTATTCTTAGTGCCTATATAAATATTTAAAACTCTAGGCTTAACAAATAATGTCTATATTGCTACTGATATATAAAATTAGTATTGTAAGGTACCTACTCATTTTGAAACGCATGAAAATAAAAATAAAATGAAGATGAAATTCATTGTAACTTATCTTTCTGTTAACCCCTATTATGCACTGTATACTTCTTTGTGAATAAAATACAAGGTACTTCGTTATATTTTGTAAAAAACATGTAATTGATGCAGTAGGTAAACATGACATAGGTAACATAATTTCACGCCTTTTATCCCCGAAGGGGTAGGCAGAGGTGCACATTATGCCACTGTACAATGTAACAGCCACTTTTCACAATTTATGTTACGAGTCCCATGTAATAGGAGGTGAGCCTATTGCCATATACCGGGCACAATTCCAGACTCCGTGCTACTACTGAGTATTTTTTAAAAACCCAGTAATACTTTGCCCGACCGAAGCAGCCTTGCATCTCGCGTGTACGCAGTGGGAACACAGAAAAAAAAATTTTTTTAACCATTTCATATTTTTCCTACATATAACGTTGCTTTACGTCAGTCTGACGTGTAGCAACGCTTTTGTTGTGTTTCGTCATATGAGTTAGGTTACCGGAGGCCTAATTACCCCTCCCCCCCTTCCCTTAATCCCCAATAATCCTCAAACTCCTAATCCTCAAAAGGCCGGTAACGCGCCTGTAACGCCTTTGGTGTTCCAGGTATCCATGGGCGACGCCGATTGCTTACCATCAGGTGATCCGTCTGCTCATGTACCGGTTTATGCAATAAAAAATAAGAGAAAATATTTTTTTAAGATACCAATTCATATTTTCCCTACGGATAGCTCAATTCACTCGAAGTTTTGTCTTACCACATTGAGTGCAAACGGTCGGACCGAAGCGAGATATTTTGACGATCCATTGCCAGCATTCCTCTACGTTTGAGACGGAGAAATTGCTTAACTGTGCGAAATGTTCTGAATGTATATTTTGTATTGAAAGATCAAGGATTGTGAGAATTGTTTAGATGTTATACGTCAAATATTTAATAGAAAATTAGTCGCACTTAGTAAACTTTTGAAAGTCATTTAGAAGAACACCTATCAGTTTACTTTTTTTTTCTTCTCTTTTTTTTTAAACGTTGCCCCTCACTAGGATTTTCTCCTGTGTCGTGGGTGCGTTTACAAACATACAAGTTTACATACACAATGACACCCAGACCCGAAACAACAATTTGTGGATCACACAAAGAGGTGTTCCGTGCGGGAATCGAACCCGCGACACGTTGCACGGCAGCCGGTTGCCCAGCCACCGCACCAACCGTGCAGTCAACGGCACTTTGACGGCACAGTTGGTGCGGTGATGCTGCTCAACGTACAGTGGGTTACTCTTTGTGTGTAGAGCAACTCTTTGTGTGATCTACTAATTGTTGTTTCGGGTCTGAGTGTCATGTGTGTGTGAACTTGTATGTTTGTAAACCACGACGCAGGAGACAATCCTAGTGTGAGAGAACGATTTAAGGATAACCAGAAACTGTTGTCCACCAGAACCAAAAGTGTTGGTCCTGTTTTTATAATAACAATACGGTAACAATAAAAACACGTGAGACATATTAAATTAACTAACATCGTGGGTTACTCACGTGAATATACTGAGAAAAGCTCTACTAGTTTCGAACCACAGAGGGGTTCTTACTCATGAGCAGCGTGCGCGGTCACGGCGACGTCGCGCAGCTCACTGTGAGCTGTGAGGTGTGAGCTCTCACAGTGAGCTGAGTAACCCGCGATTTTAGTTAAGTGTTGGTACTGTTAAAACTAATTAGGAAAACACAGCAAAAATATGAAATCAGATAAAATAACACCAAAGAGTCTATTTAGTATTTACATTTAAACAATACCAAGTGGCTTTTAAATATAATTATATGTCTTGACTTACTATACATTCGGGAATAGGCCATAGATCTTCCTACTACTTAATAGTGCTATTATAGTGCTATCATCATAACATCACACTGTGAACGCGAGGAGGGCGGCCATTTTCATAACGAGCGGACGGTAATGTGATTTGGCTCGGTCGTATTGTCTGAATTTTACAACCCATTATGTACGAATTCAAGTTATAGTCCAACTTAAAAGGATGATAAATTTTAATTTAGTTAAGCTGTTGTTGTGCTTTTGATATTTTTAAGCTATAGTTTTTTTAAGGTATGTTTTACGTTGGCATTTGAATGGTTAGTGCAAATATACTTAGTCAAATGAAGAATGAAATACATTATTGTACTAGCTGCCTGTACTAGCTGCCCCGACAAACTTCATAGCGCTTAAAATTTTTTAATCACCTTTTAAAACTTCCCTGGACTCATAAACATTACAATACCAAAATTAGCTAACTATGTTCAGCCGTTCTCGAGGTTTAGCAAGACTAACAAGCTAAAATTTATTTTTATTTATATACTAGAACTAAATTTGAAGTAAATCCATGCAGAAGAGATTTTTGAGATCATCCCGGACATAATTAAAAACAAACACAAGAATTTTAGTAATCAGTGTTAGTTATCAAATAACACGTATTCGATGTAAAGTATTTGTTGAACTTAATCTTGATATTTAAATGATTATCATATAATTAAGGTACCTACTTACAAATGCCACGAAACAACGCAGAATTTTTCATTACCACACCACACGACACAAGCAACTGTTCCCATTCATACAAAGCGAACAACCCAAGCGATTAAGAATAATAAATTATTCATAATTATACGACGAAGCATCGTCCAATATACATATTTAATATCAAAGACATGTGAGGAAACGTGTGACTCATACTCAAGCATTAATGCTTGTATTTGTCAATGTCCCTCTTAATATCACCAAGCAATTTTCCAAGAGGATTGTGGCCTTTGCATTTCTCAGTTGAATGCATAGCACTTATTCTATAGAATGGAATAGCACTCTTATTGTGAGGATGATAAGGCGTGTTTTCATGTGTAAAGGTGTAGACGTTTCATGGCCAGTGCACTGCCTGGCCTGAACGGTCGGCGTGCGAATCAATACCCAAGTGATATGCTTTAGCTTATAATTTGTACAGAGGTAATCACAAAGGTTAGTCAGTTGGATGTTAAGGTCTATTGTTAGATATCTAGACAAGGAAATGATAGACGGAAAAAGCTGATTAAGACTCTACACATTAGCTATTTTTTACAGACTTCAAAAAAGGGAGGAGGTAATAGTAAACAATAAGCCGAACATAGGTTCGGCTTATTGTTTTTGTTTATTTTTTCAGCTCACTTCATAATGATGTAACTTAATGGCCACAAAATTGTAAACTAGGTATATATTAAGGTTTTAATAAATAATTTTGTATAGAACTTATGACACCGACATATCAGTGGGTGGGTAACCTATCAGTACGAATTAGAAAACAGTTACTTTATGCTTTTTAGTTTTTACTTTTTGTTTGTTATTAGTCTTTGGTTGTCGGTTTTTTAAACGCAGTTTTTATGAATAAAATAATATTTATGCTTATCAGTTCAAATATTTTGTCTCATATTAAGTGAAGTAAGTTATGACTGATGCCAGCACAATTCGAATTGTAATAATACAAAGAAGACGTTGTTTTAGTAAGATTATATTATTGCATTGCATTGACAGGAGCGTTCTATATCATCATCATCATTATCATCATCATCATTATTGCACCATCTCCTAACGCCTGTATCGTCTCATAAGTAAAACAAGTGAATTTATTGTTGCAAATAGCATTATACGTAAAAAAAAACGACGGTTTGAACTCCAGGAGTGCCGGCAGAAGTCAAAACTTAAGTATTAACGTTGTGCGTTTTGGATAATTTGGAATGGTTATGGAATAATTTTGCACGAATGCTTAAATTATCAGAATAAATTAAAGTCCTCTCTTTTATGTGGTAGAATATAATATTTATTTATTGCGCTATCGTCCACAAACATGACAATTTATAGACGGTCGAGCCATCAGCTGTATCCATACATGGATGCGCGTGACACGCTGTAACATAAACACACACGAACATTCGCGCAAGCGCCCTGCGCCGCCTAAACGAAACAGCCGGCGCAAGCATACATTTTCGCCGCGCCATAGAAAGAGGTGACGTGTCCTGACGCGTGTTTAACATTTTTTACTCATTCCAAAAAAGTGTACTACCGCTAAAGAAGTTTTCACTTCAAAAATATAGATAAAACTGATGTATTGATCATTTGTTATTCATCTATCTATATATATAAAAGAAAGTGGTGTTAGTTACACTATTTATAACTCAAGAATGGCTGAATCGATTTGGATGAAAATTGGTGGGGAGGTAGCTTAGAACCAGGAGACGGACATAGGATACTTTTTACCCAATTATTTTTTTTTACTTTTTACTGAAAATCAAGAACGGGAACGGGAAATATCGGGATTGCGCGTACGAAGTCGCGGGCAGAAGCTAGTATTATATAAAAGAAAGTCGTTTTAGATACACCATTTATAACTCAAGAACGGCAGAATAGATTTGGCTGAAAATTGGTAGGGAGGTAGCTTAGAGCCAGGAGACCGACATAGGATACTTTTTGAGCAAAATTGTTTTCTTTTACTTTTTACCGAAAATCACGAATGGGGACGGGAAAAAATGGGATTACGCGTACGAAGTCGCGGGCAGAAGCTAGTTTCTGATAATTACCTTCTGTATCTACGTTTGAATATTAACAAAGATCATTTTTATTTAACGTCATGTTTACCATAATAACACCATTATCAGCGTACAAGAACATTAGAGCTGCTCCCATCTCATTTAATTCTACTAAGTGATTGATAATGATACCGCAGATGGTAGCTATTACACAATAATTAGGCCGAAAACAATTAAGTTGATAACGTAAAGCCAGTTATTATAATCCACTTTAGTGCCCCACCCCTTGGTCGTACAAACCTATCGATTTCATAAATGTATTTTCTGAATCGAATTTCATTCGTAATATGGGTATTTGATGTCTGTGTATTCTGTTATATTGTAGTGGAATTTATTTGTCTGTTTGTATTGTTGCTATGGCATGGCTAAGGTTATGGGTTTGATAGCTAAAGCCTAATGATCTAAGACTGCTATCTTATAATATTAAAATAACATGGTGCGCTTAATAGATATGTTCTTTTGATTTACCTACTATGAAATAATGTGTAAAACAACAATGTTCTTAGCTTTTTTCATAACATTTTTAATGGGTGTAAATAAACATTATAATGTTCTGACAAAACATACTTTATGTAGGTATTTTATTAAAAGCAAAGTCAGTATAATGTTTGTTCAATAACTAAAACTGACTCGTTGGCCGATTTGTCGCAAGTGCGACTGACGGGCAAGGGGTCTCGGGTTCGATTCCCGGGTCGGGAAAAGATTTACTGGGTTTTTAAAAAATTCTCAGTGGTAGCACGGAGTCTGGAATTGTGTCCGGTTAATGGCAATAGGCTCACCCCCTATTACATGGGACTCATAACATAAATAGTGAAAAGTGGTGAAAAAATCGTTAAAAGTGTCGTGGTGGCCCGGAGGTTTAAGACGCCCACTTCTCATGCATGAGGGTGCGGGTTCGAAACCTACCAACGGCAAGTACCAATGTGACTTTTTCCGAGTTATATGTACTTTCTAAGATTATTTAGACACCACTGACAAACGGTGAAGGAAAAACATCGTGAGGAAACCTGGACTTATAATTTCTAATTATAAGTTTGAAATCGCCAACCCGCATTGAGCAAGCGTGGTGATTAATGCTCTAACCTTCTCCGTGTGAGAAGAGGCTTTGCTCAGCAGTGGGCATTTATAGGCTGTTGATGATGGGCGTTACATTATACAGTGGCATTAAGTGCTGTAATGTGCACCTCTGCCTACCCCTTCGGGGATAAAAAGGCGTGATGTTATATTTTGTTATGTAATAACTAAAACTTTGAACAACCTAACATTTGTATTAATACTAGAACCTTATAAGACAGCTACATAAAAAATATATCTAACGAATTAAGTCTACCATCTTACGTTTTCACTATACCACAAAAAGGTCAAATAATTGTAGCAGAATAATGTAATTTAGTGGCCTGTCTTTTAATTAACCCTGCCGTACAATTTATCTAGGGGTCTGCCAAGAAAATGCGCCTCGTTAACAAGTATAAAGTACATAATTGGACTGCCATCGTCGGTTTTGTGGCTGCAATTGTGCCGTCCGACGA